ATGAAATGGGTTGAACTTTGCACCATAACATAACATTTTTATTTTTTATTTAGTTTTTGGAATGAATTATGGATTGCAGGAAAATGCGACATTCGGTACATGTGATGTCCCTACACTTTCGCCTCCGCCTCCAGCTCAGCTGTCACCTATCGAGACTTCACCAGTTCCCACAAACAATTCTCCAACAAACAGACAACATTGGTTCGTTTTGACAATCTTAATTTTGATCACCCACACGCGGTTCTAATCTTATATTTGTTTCGTGAGAACCATATGTACACGTTTGATCATTTGAGTGGGGAAAATTAATTCTTTGGGTATTAGACAGAATTTTGTTTGCATTTCGCATCCGGAAAAAATCGCATTGAATTCTCACACTGTTGTTAAACACGAAAACTTTACGAGCATCATGAGTTCCAGGTACTGCCAAGTGAAGCAGAATGATAAATTACGGAATTTTTATATGCAGTGATTGATAGTACATTGTTTACCATCATTATGAGTTTGGGGTACTTGCATTGTTTTTAATTTATGTAAAGCTATTATTCTCCTGGAAATTTCAACATGCTCTATTGATTAATTCATTTACATGAACCTTCTTGGCTCATCCCCCTCTCTTGTGAAGTAATTTCATTTTGAAGATCCAAGTAGCGAAAACAACTGAGTAGGAAATAAACAGATAATCTCTATGGAGCCCTACCTTGCCAGATGCTAACTTTAAAAATAAATTAGAACTTGGGGTGATTAAACATGTAATTTTCTAAAGGTTGAGCTATATTATTAGGTTTACTCGCTTTAACTGGAGCTATCAAATGAAGCATTTCGGGTTAATTGTTCACAAGTTCCCAAAACGGTCGTGCGCGAACAAACAATCTCACCGATATCTTGGGTGTCCATGTTGATTTTGACTAGAAATTTACAACAACGGAAGAAATTACACGTGAATTTCACAAGGCGAATCTTTGGAAACTCAAGGAGCACGTTTTGAATGATGTTCGAAGTGGCCTTGAAATTCAACATGGACTCGAACAAGCAAAACGTAATGCGTCCGGATGATTCAAGAAGAATATCCGGGTGTAAAGTAAATATGCGCCGTAATTGTTCATCACTCAAACCAAGTTTATGTAAAGAGGGAATGACGTCAAGCATGCATTTCCCATCATATGAATCTTTAACGGAAATATGCTTTTAAAGCCGGTCGTATTCAATTCCTGCGTTCTTTAATTTCTTCAAGAACTCCACAAAGTCAGGACCCACTCCACCAACCAAAGGATGAGGACTCAGAAGCAACAATCTTAGCAATGAAAGACTGCTTCAACCCGAAATGCTGAAAAGGTTGAAGCTTTGACATCAAAACACCATAATTATGCCCAAAAACCTCTCTAGCCTCTTTAACATGTAAAACGCCATAATTTTAGGTTAACAGAAAATTCGGTCAGTGTGGTTCAGTTTCGACCGATTGAACAACCTTAATATATGCAATTAACTATAAACAAAAATATTGCAGATAAGCCCAGCGTGAATAATCCACTAAGAAGGCCGGTAACTATTTAAATTGGGCTCTAGGAACCAAGAAGCCCTAAAGGGTTACCATAGTAGCTTAGCCCATCGGGCTTTCGAATTGTGGAAAGAGGACGATGAGATTCTATCATGTTAGCGCCAAAAGCACAAGTTCCCGCCATTTTCAACACTTCCATCCCCCATTTTCTCCTCCTCCATCCCTCGAAACTTCAGATCTGGAGAGTGACAGTACAGTGACTTGTCTATCGAGCAGCAAATCGACTGAGAAAAGCAAAAATGTCCGACGAGCAGCCAGCTGAGGCCGGTAGGCGCAGGACGCGCGGCGCCGCCGCGACTGCACGCGCCGAAAAACTCAAGCTCCTAAAGGAGCTCCGTCGCGGCGGCCGACGAGAAATGGAAGCCGGAGGCTACCAGATCAAGATGGAGGAGCCGATTTACGACACTGTGGAAGATGACGAGTACGAAGCTTTGGTAGCCAAGCGCCGGGAAGAGGTCAAGGGTTTTATCGTGGATGACAACGGCTTAGGCTACGGGGATGAAGGGCAGGAAGAGGACTGGTCGATTGCCGGGCGCTCATTGTCCTCTGATGATTCCGAGGAAGAAACCGAGAGGCCAAAAAAGAAGAAAAGCAACTGCAATTCGGAGAAGAAGGAGAAAGAAGCCGTGAAAAAACCGTCTGCTCTGGCTTCGGCGGCCGCCTTGATGGGTAAGCAAAGGATTTCGAATATGTTCACCTCGTCTGTGTTTAAGAACGATAAGAAGAATTTGTCGTGTGATAGTATTGTTGATGATGTGATTGCCGAATTTGCCCCTGACGAGAATGATAGGGAGAAGAGGAGAAGGGCCAATTTGAGCAATTTCAGTGTGAATAAGATGAACAATGTCCCAGCAGCTAATTTGGGTGCTTTGTCTGTGAAAATTGAGAAGCCATTTGCGAGTAGTGTTAATGCTGATGACAGGAATGAATTTAATGAGAGCATCTATAACTATGGTGATGTAAATGGTGACCCACAGAAAGGCTGTTTAGAAATAGTTGAAGATGTGAAAAGCAACACAAATATTCTGCCTCTCACTGAAGATAATTCATCCACCTTATTACAGAATATGGAAATCATGGAGAAGAGTGAAGATAGAGAAATTGTTAATAAAGAAAGCTCACTAGATATAGCTGAAGCCAAGGGGTTAGAGAAGAAAATATTTACGCTCAATGCAAAAATTGAAGACTCTAAAGACCCAACTCTTAGTGCAACTGCACGGTGGCAAAACGTAATTGCGGACTGTAATGCGTCGGGGCCTGGGCTGAATCAGAGCACAAGTAGTGAGGAGAACTTGGATTTTGATGTGGAGTCAGATGGATCCCTGCCATTCTACATACTTGATGCCTACGAGGAAATTTATGGTGCTAATGCTGGGAATCTATATCTCTTTGGAAAGGTATATTCCTCTTTTATGTGTCCTAATTATGAATTATCGTTTTTCATAATTGTGTTCTATGCTAAATTTATAGCTATTCATTAAGGTATTGTTTCATGATTGGACACTTGATTACTTGCTTACTAACTTTGAGTTACAAGGCTTCAGCAAAGCTCGTAGTTCCATTTGGGAGAATAGTTTTTCTCCTAACACATTTCTTTTATGAAATATATAGTGAAAGTGCCTAGGAAAAATTATCTTCAGATTAGTAATCATATTATCTTTTCTTGTATATGACTTTTTTCTGTTATCCTATTTTCTCTTATTTTGAGAGATCACATATTCGATGATTAGCCGGTTTATCNCTTCTGCGTTTTCCTTGCTTTTTGCCTATTGTGACACATTTTAGTTCACATTTTACACAACCACTATTTTGTGGATATTTCGTATACATTTCTATTATCTTAGTGACATTTGGTCAGTTTATTTGGACAACTTTGATTTAGTGAAAAATTTTCTGAAAAGAAATTAACCTCTCTGATGCTTATCTTTAATCTGAAAACTTGGCTTCTTTACAAATTTTGTACTAAGGGTATGAGCTTTCCCAAACTCGATATTCTGATAATAGTTGTTATGATTAAGGTCAAATCAGGAGGTACCTACCACAGCTGCTGTGTGGTTGTAAAAAACATGCAGAGATGCGTGTATGCAATCCCAACTGTTTCTTTTCTGCACAATGACACTATTCAAGAGCTTGAAAAAAAGATTGAAGAGTCTAGAATGGCACTCATGGCTGCTAAAGACCAACTTGTAAAGCAAGGGAGAGATGTTCAAAAGTCCCGAACGCCATCCACAGACCTTAAAGATATGGTTGATAAGCTACAGAAAGATGTTGAAGAGTCTCAAACTGTTCTGCGAAACCAACTTCACGTAATACTATGCCATTCTATAGGCTGCGAGCAGTTTTTTTTATTCCTCTTTTTGATGAACCAAACTTTTGTATCAGGAGCTGGCATCAGACATGAAGACTGAAATAGCAAAGGAGCTACTAGAAAGGAATGTTTCTAGTTTCAGCATGGCTCCTGTTAAGGTTGGTAAACTCGTCACTATAATGCACTGGATAATTTCATAAACTAAATAGTGAACTCCATAATATTTTACACCTTGATATCTGTTGCTTTTATATTGAGAAAATTAAAGTTTAAAATCCTTACATTGCATGTTTCTTATCTTGTAGAGAAATTATGCATTTGAGAGATCAGATATACCTCACGGGGAAAATTATGTCCTCAAGATCAACTATCCATTTAAGGTATGCCATTATACATTTCATAGGGGTCTGTTGTTTTATGATCTTGGGTTGTCAATATTTTTGGTTTATTCAAGCAAAACTTGGAGTTTTGATGTCCGAAGTTCTGTGTAATGAATTTGAGAAGAATGAAAAATTGTTTGAGCCTATTTTGGCTTAGTCAGTTTCAGTTTACCTCAGCGATCCTTGTATCCTTACAGGACCAATCGCTTCCATTAGATCTCAAGGGAAATAACTTCTGTGCTTTGCTTGGAACTCATAGCAGGTCAGTCAATGTAATGCTAATAGCTGGAAGGCCTATAATATCCTTTAAATTTGTAATGTTTTGTATGTAAAATGGGGACCTAACATTGTAGATATAGTAGAAAATATATTTGTGAAAATTCATTAACTAGTTTGCCACATTTATTGTTTGATGGCCTCTGAGTTCACATTCATGGTGTATTCCTGGTTTAGGACTTTGATCATTACTCATGGCATGATATGTTTATCTAGTCACTTTGACGAGTCGACTTCTCACTGTCTATAGGTTAAAAGTTGTGACATGGTGAAATTCATTACTAAATTACAAACTAATGTTGCTTGCAGCTGCTTGGAGCTTTTCTTGATTAAAAGAAAAATTAAGGGACCATCATGGTTATTAATCTCAAAGTTCTCGACCTGTGCAGCTGCTCAGCGTGTGAGTCTTTTTCGATACTCTGGAGTTTTTATTACATAGGCAGTGTCTGGTTACCTTGTGATAAACTATACTTTCACTTTCTGACAGGTGAGCTGGTGTAAATTTGAGGTCACAGTAGATTTCACAAAGGATATTCAAGTCGCAACTTCATCAAAAAAGTTCTTGGAAATTCCTCCTGTTGTAGTTGCAGCAATAAATTTGAAAACTATCATCAACGGGAAACAGAATGTCAATGAAATTGTTGCTGCATCTGTTATTTGCTGCCACAAGGCTAAGGTACAGCGCATCAACACATAGCGACACATTTGTGGATAGAATCTCTCTCCCTCTCTCTCACCAATCTGATATTTTTTCAGTTTAAGATATCGATGTTAAATAATTTGGCATTTCATGTGGAGCTAAATCATGTTGACTATTGCATTTCTAAATATCATTATGGATGATGAAGAAGCTGCATTATATTGTCATAAAAGTAAAACGTATTCACTAAATGACAATTTTCCAGATTGATTATCCCATGGGGGCTTCAGAATGGACCCGTCCTGGTATGCTTAGTCATTTCACTGTTGTGCGTAAACTTGAAGGTGGCATATTTCCTATGAGTTTTGCGAAGGAGGCAGCTGCGAAAAATGCTAAGGCTGGCTCAAATGTTATTTGCTATGAAAGCAGGCAAGTCTTATTGTGAACTCATTACGTGGCTTAATTTACTATTCTTCCATTATTGGTCAAATTTTCATATTTTTTTGTATGCCTTTTTAAGTTGCTAACTATCTGCTACATGATAATGATTATTCATTTCAGTGAAAGAGCTTTGTTAAATCGTTTGATGATTGAGATTCACAAATTGGATAGTGACGTTCTGGTTGGGCACAATATATCCGGGTTTGACCTGGATGTCCTTCTTCACAGAGTCCAGGTATTTGTTGTATACTTGTACTAAATTTGCATATTTATTATGTAAATAATAGAAGTTTTTGTCCAGCACTGTGCTTCTCCAGAAGTTCCTTATTGAGTGATTTCTACATCTCACGTAGATACGGTTAGAAGTTATGTTTGTCCCTCATCGATTAGTTACTGCGCTGTTATTGTGTATAAGTGTGGGTTGGGCACCCTCTCCCTGTGAGCTAGCATTTGGGGATGAGTTCTATCCAGGCCCGTCTATCAGATAAAATGCTGTCTTCTTTCTTTTCCACAGAGTTCCCGACACCTAAAAATATGTAGATCTAGCCTTCTAATTACCATCTAGGCATCCAACTCCTTTCTACAGCATTTACTATTTTTGTAACCTTTTATTTTAGTTGGGCCCCTTTTTCTCTTGGTATTTTCTGTAGAAGTTTTGTATCTGACCATCACAAAGCTACTGTTCTTAGGATGCTTTATATATCTCATTTTGCAGGCTTCCCGCGTGCCTAGCAGTATGTGGTCAAAAATAGGCCGCCTCAAGCGCTCTGTGATGCCCAAACTTAGCAAAGGAAGCTCAGTATTTGGTTCAGGAGCGAGTCCCGGAATCATGTCTTGCATTGCTGGCCGTCTCTTATGTGATACTTACATTTGTTCGCGTGACCTACTCAAGGAGGTGGGTTATTTTATTTATTTAGCAGTTTTTGTCATCTCTCATTGTTTAACATGCCTGGCTTCTTCCAGGTTAGCTATTCCTTGACACAACTAGCAAAGACACAGCTGAATAAAGACCGTAAGGAGATAACTCCTCACGATATTCCCCAGATGTTCCAAACTTCTGAGTCGCTACTGGAACTTGTAAGTCCCCATAATATTCTTGAAATTTTGTTGTAGCATTGTGATTAAGTTACACTCACACAATATATATATTTATAATCGATGATGCATAGGAAATGAGGATTTAAAGTATCTATTCAATATTTTAGTTTAGCAAAAGTAGGTCAGTATTACCTATGGAGCAGCAGCCTGGACAAAATTGTATAACAGATTTCTAATTCCATAATCTCTAGGTTGTAATCTTTCTTCTGATAATTTTAATCATGTGTCAATGTACCAGTTTTTGAGGCATTTGAAAATTGTTTCAGTAATGATCCAGCCGTCTTTCCAAATCTGAAGATAAAACTCTTACACGTTCTCTATAACTAGCTGTGTTATTCTGCATTATGCGATTCACACTTGCACTATTTGCAGATCGAGTATGGTGAAACAGACGCATGGTTGTCTATGGAACTTATGTTCCACCTGAGTGTCCTCCCACTCACTCGTCAACTGACTAATATTAGTGGCAATCTTTGGCATAAAACTCTTCAGGTGAGATTTCCAGTGGGTCTGAGTGATGTTGCTTCATGATAGATTGCAAGTAAATTTGTAAAATGAGTTGTCTTGTCTGATTTCAGGGTGCTAGGGCACAAAGAGTGGAATACTTCCTGCTACATGCATTCCATGCCAAGAAGTTTATTGTCCCAGACAAGTTTTCTTCTCAGTCCAAGGAGACAAGGACAGCAAAACGGAAAATTAGTGGTGGTGCAGAGAGCAAAGAGATTGATCAAGAAGATACAACTTTTGATGATGAGGCTCCTGAAAATAATCGTGGGAAAACAAAAAAAGGACCTTCCTATTTGGGTGGTTTAGTGCTGGAGCCAAAAAAAGGACTATATGATAAGTATATATTACTTTTGGATTTCAACAGTCTGTACCCTTCCATTATTCAGGTCAGTTGTATTTCATATTTTTCTATCATGACTATTTTTTACCTGCTGCCCTTTATGCACTGTTCATAATGGAATTGCTTGTTAAGTCATTTAAGTATCTTTAATCTGTATGACAGGAATATAATATCTGTTTTACTACTGTGGAAAGACCTGCCGATGGATCACCTCCCAATTTACCATCCAGTAAAAGGACTGGGGTTTTACCGGAGGTAAAAGGTCCATATGAGCATCATTTTAAGAGTTAAATATTAAAATATCCATATGCAGTTCTCATGGAGACCAGTAGCTGAGCTTTTTACTCCAGTTGGACTGTTCACTAATATGAAATATACTGGTGCATCTGGTCTGAAATTTTTTTGGTGCTAAACATACTAGTACAAGAAGGATATATAGATATAACCACATTCATTGGAAGTATTGGATTCCCTTAATAATAGAACAGATATTTACATACATACTAGTAGCATGCAAACTATGAAGAAGGGAAAAAAATCGAACATGATAACCAAAATAGGTACATGTTGACATGGAAATTGGACATAAAAAATCAATGTTATCATTAGTAATTGGCATGTCTATTCACAAATATCCGTTTATTTGATTGGACAAATAAGTACAAATGTGAAATATAGACAAATAACTATACTAACAGGTACATATGCAGTTTAAAAGCCAAAACGGATATTTGATTCCAAACACTTACAAATGTTCAATATTTTTCTCTTGTAACTTGTAACTAAAAACTGCATTTCTATAGTTACTTAAGCATTTGGTGGAGAGAAGAAGAATGGTAAAGGGATGGTTAAAAACAGCTTCAGGTCTCAAAGCTCAGCAGTTTGAGATACAGCAACAAGCGCTAAAGCTGACAGCAAATAGGTTTGCTCATGCTTTCATCCTAAAAAACAAAGTTTTGTTTTTCCATTGGTTACTGGTTATATATTGATTTTAAAAAATTGTTATGCAGCATGTACGGATGCCTGGGGTTCTCTAACTCGAGATTCTATGCAAAGCCCCTTGCAGAACTTATAACATTACAAGTAAGAAGTTCGTTATTGGTAAAAACTAAATGGTGGCCTCTTAGGTCTGCCGGAGATAAAGCTATAGGCCATCTTATGCATTTTGTGCAGGGAAGGGAAATTTTGCAGAGCACTGTGGATCTTGTTCAAAATAATCTAAACTTGGAGGTAAGCACTTATACAAAATTGCTTCAGTTTCTAGAACATACACGAAACTCATTAGAGAGCTTCTTCTGGAACCACGAAGCTAAAATGCTTTTTCAAGCAGGTTATTTATGGCGACACCGATTCGATAATGATATATAGTGGACTTGATGATATTGAAAAAGCTAAATCAATTGCAGGGAAGGTCATTCAGGAGGTGAGATTACTTAAATTGCTTATTATTGGTAATAACTTTTCCTGCTGGGCAGAAAGGGGATATCGGTACTTCATCAGTCATTATTAAAGAGACCTTCTCTTTGTTGCCTGAATTGCATATGGTCAAAATCATGGATTAATGTTATGATTGAGGCAAAGAATAGCATTTAATAGATCTATTGATCTGTTTCAAGTATCTGTAACACGAGCTGGATTATGGCTTAACATGGAAACATATGCACTGGAAGTTTATTTAGTCCATTCAGCATCTGTTAGACCTATTTCGTTAGCATGTTTGTCTGGCACATTGTATGGTGTATGTTATTTTGGTTTAAAAGGTCTAATATATGTGATACATAGTATGGCTCCCATATGTTTTTGATAGGTTAATAAGAAGTATAGGTGTCTGGAGATTGATCTCGATGGCTTGTACAAGAGAATGTTGTTGCTCAAGAAAAAGAAATATGCAGCTGTCAAAATGCATTCTAAGGATGGTACATCATATGAGGTAGCTTCTTTTATACTTTGGTAATTCAATTGAATATAAAAATCCAATAGTCTGTTGCTTTACTCTTATTGAGTTCGGTGCAGGTTATCGAGCGGAAAGGTCTTGATATGGTCCGCCGTGATTGGAGTTTACTGTCAAAGGAATTGGGAGATTTCTGCCTCAGTCAAATTTTATCTGGGGGGTCCGTTTTGTTCTATGCATGAATTCTCTGTGTTGTCTTTCTAAAGCTTACCGTATAAAATTTGCTCAAATGCTTTCAGGTCCTGTGAGGATGTTGTTGAAGTAATACACAATTCTCTAACAAAGGTATTTCTTCAAGTTTTTGTGCGCTTAGCTTTGGCTCATAGTAAATATGCTTAACATACAAGAGCAGGCAAAGTTATCTCCTTGCATTGTTTGAGATATTGTATTGAACCATGCCGACTTATTATTTTGTGATATCATTTGATTCCCACTATCAATTCAAAATGTCATACAATTAAATAATTATAGCATTATGTAATTAATTGCAGGTACAAGAGGAAATGAGGAACGGGCAAGTACCGCTGGAAAAATATGTCATCACAAAGACATTAACAAAACCACCGGAAGCATACCCTGATGCTAGAAATCAGCCTCATGTAGAGGTGAAGCTAATGACACTAAAAACGAATCATATTAGTATCATCCTTGTATTTTAAGTTTTATACTTCTTGCATGGTTGTTCAGGTAGCGCTTAGACTGAAAAAAAGCGGTTATGTGACTGGTTGTACTGCTGGAGACACTGTGCCTTACATCATCTGCTGTGAGCAGGTCAGCCACTGGTTCTGTTTTTATTACTTTTTTATCCTTGATTATGCAGATTTAGTTAAATTAATACCTGTCTTTTGCGAGCATAATCTGTGTAAGGTCAGATCGTATATCATAAATTTGTCCTATGTACATATTATAGGGGAAAGGCTCTACATCCTCTGCTGGAATTGCCCAGAGAGCGAGACATCCTGATGAACTGAAAAAGAACAATGAAAACTGGATTGTCGACATTGACTATTACCTTGCACAGCAGGTTTGTTTTCTTTAGTTTATTTTTAGTAGCTATTAGTGTGTGTGTGTGTGTTTGTGTGTCTTTCCTTTTCATTTTATTTTTAATCTTTTTTCTTGATTTCTGTTACATATTGCTAAAATCACCTTTCACCAATTGCCATGCAGATTCATCCCGTCATATCACGTCTATGTGCATCAATTCAGGGTACAAGTCCAGCACGTTTGGCTGATTGTTTGGGGCTCGACTCATCAAAGGTTAGTGGCATCTCTCTACATGTATATTGTATTTCTTCAAGCATCTGCAAGCAATGATAAGTGACAGTTTAATCTTTAACTCATCAGTTCCAGAGTAAATCAAGTGATTCTATCAGCAACGATCCATCAAGTTTGTTGTCATTTGCATTGGATGATGAGGAGAGGTACTTTATTTCTTTCTTTAAAAAAAAATGGTCCTGCCAGTACATGAAACATTGATTTTCATAAAACCACGTTTATCTTGCTTTCCTAAATTTTGTCGTTATATGCCTGTTAGCAATAATGGCACTTGATTTAATGAAATTTCTGAACTGCAGGTATCGAGGTTGTGAGCCTTTGGTTCTCTCCTGCCCGAGTTGCTCTGGAACTTTCGAGTGCTCGCCCATATTTAGCTCAGTGTATGCATTGATCAATACAAAGCCAACAGACGAGCAACCAGCCAATAATTTTTGGCACAATTTGCGGTGTCCGAATTGTCCAGCTGAAATAGACGGCGGGAGAATATCTCCTGCTATTATTGCTAACCAGGTAACTTCATTTCGGCTTTTGTGAATACGAACGGGTTTTGTTTAAACAGAGATTAGCCGGTTCAGATCTGATTAATCTATGTTTATCTTTTACGAGAAAAGTATATCTTTATGGAAATTTATTAGAGAAAAAAAATATTACTAGGAACCTGTTTTTGGCTTTAACATATAACAAATGTTTTCAGTTGACTGTAAATAATGTTACACAATTTGTCCCATACGTAGAAGTTCGTACATACTTCCAACATTTAATTTAACTCTTGCCTATTTTTCTATCAGGTAAAAAGACAAGCCGAAGGATTCATGGCAACATACTACAAGGGAGTGATGATGGTATTTCACTTGAATGAGACTAATCACGTTTCCACACAACCAAATTTTACACGCACCCCTCGTCTGATAAAAAAGATCTCGCTTTCTTTTTCTTTTTTTTTTTACAGTGTGACGACGAAACATGCAATTACACTACACGTAGCGTGAATCTTCGTGTGCTTGGTGATTCTACTAGAGGAACCACTTGTCCCAATTACCCACGTTGTAATGGACACCTCATAAGACAGGTTTGTGCCGTAAAAACATCCTTTTCCAACATCATTGTAATGGTATCATTATCTTATAAACTGTAGTTACTGATTTTTTATTTCCTATTTTGTTTTCATTAACTACTCCAATTAGTACACGGAAGCAGATCTGTACAGGCAGCTATCGTATTTCTGCTACACTCTAGACACCTTGCGCTGCATTGAGAAGGTTATATAGTGTCATTATTTTCCCCTCAATTTTACTTGCATTTCGACTTAAGGTGAAAAATAGTGCCACTTAAATTTTATTGAATTTTCAGGTTGAGGGTGATAAAAGGTTGCCTCTGCAAAAGGAGTTGTCTAAAATCAGGCCACTGGTCAAACTAGCAGCATCAACAATACAGAAAATTCGCGACAGAAGTGCTTATGGGTGGGTTCAGCTGAAAGATTTGATTGTGTTGGTTTAACTTTGAGATCAATTTAAGAGCACTGTTCTAAAATTGTATAGTAAACAGACTGATATTTATTTTATAGTGCTTATGTCAACATTGAGTGTACTATATAGATGGAGCTGTTGTATTTCGCTATCTACCATGTAAACTTGGTGCCCATGTATCTTCATGAGCACAGTTAACAAATATTTGCATTATATTTTTTTTTTGTAAGTAGTCTATGATTAGGCTCGTTTCTTCATTTTCGCCTGAATAAGGGTTGTTATTGATCACCACATAGATGAATTTAAGGAAAGGTAGAGTTACAACTTACAACTATCCCTGTTATAAGAAAACAAACAAGATTTTAACAAGTGCTATTCTGGAGTAAAGGATAGTATGCTATTTGGTTATCTGCAGTTGTCCTGTTGGTCATAATACCGAGGGGTGCCATAAGTATGTGTTGGGCTCACTGCAATTCCCCTACAGGTGCTTCGTTAAGCCACAGAAAATGTATGAAATCGTATAGTTTGGCACTTACGCTAACCTGCACAGATTAATATGGTTCAAAACATGATCATGTGAAAANNNAAAAAAAAAAAAAAAAAAAAAAAAAAACAGGTATAAGAAAGGTGCAGTTAATTGGAGTTATTGTTACCTTGTATGGTGTTGGGTTCAACCTCCTCATGTGATCAGGTCTCATCTGACCCAGTTGGTTAATGCACCGTTCTCTGATCAGCTTAATTGGTGGCAGTTCTTCTCTGCTTTTACCTACAGAAGTTGTCCATAGGATATAAAGTGATTAACAAAGCACAAATACTACTAATAAGCACTTAAATGCAGTTACAAACCAGATTAACATATTCGAAGATGATATCATTCACCTCAAAAGTGTTACCTGATCTGCCAGGCCAAAAACACTTGAGAAGCTCCTCTACATGCTGTGGGACCACATATGCTCTCTTGGATTCATTAAAAGGATGGCGACATAATATTCTCTCACCTACCTGCGTAACGAACCAGGTAAAATAACTGTTGGCAGTAACTGCTTGTGACCGATTGTCACGAATCTTATTTCCACATTTCTAAAACTAGTGAACTTAACAAATGGACTCTTTTCGAGTGAAGGGGGAAGGAGAATAATATACAACTCTAGGGAGCACTTAATGATTAATAATTAAAAAACATGATAATAACCTTTGGCGATGGTTCGTTTTCTCCTGTCATAATATCAACAAGAGGGTAACCTTCCTTCCCATATAATCTGTAGCATCTTTTTTTGCATGGAATGGAGACCTGAAAACAGATCTCAATAAATACCACCACTCTTAATACAACCATGATGTGGCAAGAGGATGATCGGTCAAACCTTTGAAACATCTTCAGAAAGCTTTATCCGAGGTTGACTGTTTATTTCAACCAATTTGAAGACTACACCTAGTGCAGGTTGAGCATAGCATGTAACCAAATGTGTTCCAATTCCAAATGCATCGACTTCATGGCCCTGGCCATAGAGGGTAGCACAGAATCAGATATCCCCATCAGTAAACTAGTCAGGATGCGTAACCTATAAGATTACCAAGCCTATGTAAAATACTAGTGTACCATGTTTAACAAATTAGTGGAGAAATTTGGTGATTGTTGCCATTTAACACATTGAGGAAATATTTACAGACCATTCACACGGTCATGTTCTCAGATGAACTTAAGATAAATAAATTAGAAAANNAAAAAAGCATTCTCTAATCCAATGCATAGTTAGAACATTTATTCTTGCTTAATGAGGGAATAGAAGGAATTTCAAATGGCTTCTCTTAATTTGGGGAAAAGGATTTTTAAACAAATGTTAGACGGCATGGATGGAGGATCTTTCCATGAAGTAAAAACAGCCAGAACTAAAGATGCAATCAGCTACAAGAACGAAATAATAGGATAACTATTACAACAATAAGCAAAAAAAATCATCTAAGCCATCTACAAATTAAGAGATTTATGAACGGAGTTGGGTAATGATAGGCCTTTGAGATACACTATGCATTTGCCTGTACCTGTTTGTTTAAAGCATCCAAAGTTTCTTCATTGAGATCATTGCTTGCTGTAATACATGTCTTCCCAAAATCTGGCACTCCAAATTCCTTCTCAATTGCCTGAAAGAACTTTCGACTCTCACATGACAGGTATGCAAGATCACCAGAGTCCAACCTGATACCTATTGCCTTATAACTGCAACAACATTACGGAAAAGGAAGGT